TTTCTCGGACCCGGTGAGGTCGCGGGAGGGGACGACGAGTCTCTTGTTTGTCCCCGACTGGCCCCCCGGCCAGATCCCCTTGGACCGCCTCCTCCCTTGCTGTGTGTGATCGCCCTGGGTGCAGCAGAATGAGGGCCCGGGGACCTTCCTGTCCCGCCCAAGATTGAAGCCCGGAGTCGGGTGCAGCCTGGGAGGAGTGTCTCGAACTCGGACACTTCATGGACACTTTTCAGCCAATCTCAAAGTTGGAGGTGGCAAGGCTTTCATTAGGGAAAAAGAAAAAAGTTCCCAGTGTAGCCTTGGAGCACACGAATCCGATGACTTTTTAGCACCTGGTTGGTATCTTTCTGCCTTGCCCTAACCATTTTTTAACCCCAGAAATGCCAGCGGTTTTATTTCTTTCTGAATCCGACTTTGTTCAGGTTAATAGAGCAACAACATTTAAATCACCAAGCTCCTGTGAAGTGGCCATTGATAAATTCTCAGATATTTCAGAATGTGTCTAGCTCACAGGAAAAGAAAAAAAAAAAGATGCTCACATCTTTCCCTCTTCAGCTACTCATGTTTACTGAGTCTGAGAGAGAGTGTTTCAGTATCCCTTTGGACATAAAAACTGATTTAAAATCTTCTTTTTGTTTTCGAGACAGGGTCTGTCTTGAAGCTCTGGCTGTCCTGGAACTCACAGAGATCGGACTGCCTCTGACTGCCTCTGTGGAAAGGCGAGCCACCAAGCGACTGATTTTTTTTTTTTTGTTTTTGTTTTTTTTTTTTTGTTGTTGTTGTTCTTTGTTTTTTGAGACAGGGTTTCTCTGCGTAGCTTTGGAGCCTGTTCTGGAACTTGATTTGTAGACCAGGCTGGCCTGAAACTCACAGAGATCTGCCTGCTGATTTTGTTTGTTTGTCTGTTTTTGTTTTTAAAGTACGTTCTGTAAACAAAATGGTTTTAATCGGTTGCCTTTATTTCCCCAGTCATCCTTGGTATCTCACAATGGCAGATAACCAGCTGTGGAATCTAGAGAGTCTGACTTACTCATACATACATTTGTTTTTCGATGTGTGAGTAGTTCATACAAATTCCTATTCCTACACCAACAGCAGGGAAGTGATGAAGGTATTACAGAGGAGGAAAATAAGGTCCAGAAAGTTGAATGACTCACTTGAAGCCTAGTGGCTGTGCTAGGAATAGTCCCCAGCTCTGCTGCTTCCTGATAAAGCCTTTTTCCACTCCCAGGGCTTTTTCAAATGCTCCCCTCTTCTCTTTGCAGGAATGCCGGATTGCTCACCCTGTTGTGAAGTGTACCTACTGCAGGACTGAGTACCAGCAGGAGAGGTAGAGCTCTGACTGACCCTGAAAGAGGCTTTCTTGCTGTCGTTAGGTGTCTTTTTGAGACAGTAGCCCAGGCTTGCTTTCAATTGGAGACAGTCTTTATCTTCAGCTTCTCTAGGTCTGGGATTAACGTCATGCCACCATTGCCACCATTGCCACCATTGCCCGGCCAGACCACACATTAAAAAAAAAAATGGTAACATTAAAAAACGTATGCCAAGTGTAGTAGCACTCCGGCAGAGGCGGAGGCAGTGGGTCTTTGGGTTCAAGGCCAGCCTGGTCTCCAGAGTGAGTGCCAGGACGGTCAGGGCTACACAGAGAAACCCTGTCTTAAAAAAAGAACATCCTGGGACTGGAAAGCTGGTTCCAGGTAACAGCACTTTCAAGATTTCCAGAGGACCTGAGTTCAGTTCCCAGTACCCAAGTACTTTGGAGCCTATCCTGGCACTCGCTGTGGAGACCAGGCTGGCCTCGAACTCACAGAGACCTGCCTGCCTCTGCCTCCTGAGTTCTGGGATTAAAGGCATGCGCCACCAACGCCCGGCAAAGCCTACAGCACCCGGTATTCCCAGTCGGTCTCCATCCAAGTACTAACTAGGCCCGATCCTGCTTAGCTTCGGAGATCAGGCACGTTGAGGGTGGTATGGCCATAGACGAGGGAGACCCCAGGATGGTCTTAATGCGCTGAGAACTTCTTACCTCTGCTTCCATATCGGTGAGATCAAAGCATTCACCACCACACCCAGCTAGAGCATACAGATTTGTAGTTAGTTACATTATACACAGGTTATGTAGTTTCCTGTTTATTCACTGGTATATAGTATGCTTGTTATTTCCTATATATTACCTGTTGTCTGCTTAAATTTTTATTTTATTAGTTCATCTTTCTACCAGTCTGATAAAGAAGTGTGGAGCAGAGCACTTGGTGGTACCAATCCGTAATCCCAGGGATTGGTGAGACCTCGCCTCAAGTAAACACCAGATAAAGTGATCAAGGATCTGGAAAGTGACTGACATATGATTTGGAACTTTTTTTTTTTCGAGACAGGGTTTCTCTGTGTAGCTTTGGAGCCTATCCTGGCACTCACTCTGGAGACCAGGCTGATCTCGAGCTCACAGAGATCCGCCTGCCTCTGCCTCTTGAGTGCTGGGATCAAAGGCGTGCACCACCAATGCCCGGCCAACTTGAAACATTTAAGAAGGCCGATGGAGCACATACCTTTAATCCCAGCACTCAGAGACCCTGTCTCAGAAAAACAGCAACACCTCCCCCCCTTCCCCCCCCCAATAAAATACTAGCAGTCTTTTAATTGCAACATTGGTCTATATAATGAACTATAGGTCAACTACCAAAGCTACATATAAGACTCTGTATAAAACAAACTAACAAAACTGTAACTCCAGGGAATCAGAGCCCCTGAGGACACCTGCTCTCACATGAATTGCCAATAGGCAGACACACATACAAATAGATAATTAAAAATTGCCTTGACAAATACTTGGTTTGCATACTTTTTCTTTTTTTTTGAGTGCTTGGGATTAAACTCAGGCCCTTCCATGTGACAGGCAAGTACTTTATCAGCTATGTCTTGAGTTTCAATTTATATGTTCTCGATTTTGAGGTGTCTTAATTTTCTTTTCTTTCTCTCTCTTTCTCCTTTCTTTAAGACAGGGTTTCTCTGTATAGCTCTTGCTGTCCTGGAACTTGCTCTGGAGACCAGGCTGGCCTTGAACTCCAAAGATCCACCTGCCTCTGCCTCCCAAGTGCTGGGATTAAAGGCGTGCACCACCATGCCCACCTTGTTGTTTTCTGTTCTAACTTTATGGTCCGTCTGTAGAAATGGCGTGGCAAAATAATAACAATATGGACTCAAGCCATTTAATGTCTTTATCCACCAGACATTTTGTGTAAAGGGTTAGGCCGTGTGAGTGACACACTTTTACTGTGTAATGCTGGCTGGCCTGGAACTTGTTATGTAGACCAGGCTGGTCTCTGGGATTAAAGGCGTGTACCACTATGGCTGGATAATTTGGCTTTATCTGAAGAAGGAGTTTCTGTTAGCAGATTGTTTAGTTCAGGCACTTTGGTCATATCATGGCCTTTAAATCTTCACAAGGCAAAGGAAGTGTTTTTTTGGTCAGTGGCAAACTCAGAGAACTCATAGACACTACGTATTTGTCTGTAGATAGCATCTATTTCCTTGTGTCTGACTTCCAGTCTCTTCCTTACAAAGGAGAGTGTAGTCTCCAGCTCATATCCCAGACACACATTTATTCCTCACCTTACATTTCTCAGATAATTCATTGGAAGTGGAGAGAATTCACTTCTTTTATGGTATTTTGTTTCAGTTTAGCACCGTATTTTCCACTTTGGGATACTTAAAGATGTCATAATTAAAGCTGGGCATGGTGGCCCCACATCTGTACTCCTAGCATGCAGGAGGTTAAAGCTGTTCCCAACTACATAGTGAGTTTGCAGCCAGCATGGGCTGTATGAGTAAAATACCAAACTGGGGTGGGGGTGGGTGGCATAAACTGAAGTAACTCATTCTCTCCTTAAAGTAGGGTTTCATTACTAGTTTATCAAATGTGCAGACTATACATCCCCAACCTCTAGCACCTCAGCAATAACAATTCCTTGGACTTCAGAGGAATGGGTTTCCAGGTGTTCTAAAAGAAGTCATTGTTTTCTTCAACAGTAAAACCAATACAATATGCAAGAAGTGTGCTCAGAACGTGCAGCTGTATGGAACGGTGAGTAGGATTTCTCTGAACCAAAGTCCCAGCAGGAGTGAGTACTCAGATCTCCTAGGGCTCAACATTCAGGGCTGGAGCGATGGATGACTCAATGGTGAAGAGTACTTGGTGCTCTTCTGAAGGACCTGCTTTCAGTTCTCAGCACCCACATGGTGGCTCGCAACCATGTGTAACTCCATTTCCAGGGGATCTGACGCCCCTTTCTGTCCTCTGAATGCAATATACCCATGTAGTATATATATGTATATGCAAAAGCCCATATAGGTAAAAAGTTTTAAAATCATATATATGAATGTTGACATGCATGCATGTGAATGTCAGTTGTGGAGTTCATTCTCCCCTACCTTTGTGAGTTCTGGAATTGGCAAGTACCTTTGCCCATTGAGCACCACCATGCTCACCTTGTTTTTTTCTGTTCTAACTTTATGGTCCCTCTGTAGAAATGGTGTGGCAAAATAATCACAAAATGGGCGTAATTTTTATTTTGGTCTTGGAACCATTTAATATGTCTTTATCCATCAGACATTCTTTTGTGTAAAGGGTTAGGCTGTGTGTATGTATGTGTGTGCCATATTAACTGTGTAGCCCTGGCACTATCTCTTGTAGACCAGGCTGGCCTCAAACTCACAGAGCTACCCCTACCCCTACCTCCCTCATGCTGGAATTAAAGGCGTGTCCCACCATGCTTGGCCTGTTTGTTTCTTTGGGACAATGTCTCATGTATCCCAATCTGGCTCAAACCCAACTATGCTCTACTGAATTTTTTTGTTGAAGTTTAATCATGGGCACTAATGAACTTTGGTTATTTACTACTTTATGTAAAAAATGAATAATCCACTGGGCAGTGGTGGCACACATCTTTTATTCCAGCACTCAGGAAGCAGAGGCAGGTAGATCTCTGTGAGTTCGAGGCCAGCCTGATCTACAGAGCAAGTTCCAAGCCAGCCTCCAAAGCTACAGTGAAACCCTGTCTCAAAAAAACAAAAAAAACCCCAAAAAACAAACAAATCCAAAAACCACAAAAAAATCAATAATCCTTTGGGGAGTTACTTTTTTATGATGCTAAGAATTGGGCTTCATTTAAACAAAAGGTGCAAATGCATGATGTTGGGAATACAAGTTTACTGTGTGTCATGGGCTACAGAGTAGGAATACTAATGTAAAAATTGATAAGCTTACTTGATCTTTATTTTCTCTCCTTTAAGCCTAAGCCTTGTCAGTATTGCAACATAATTGCAGCATTTATTGGCAATAAATGCCAGCGCTGCACGAATTCAGAGAAGAAGTATGGACCTCCATATTCTTGTGAACAATGCAAGCAGCAGTGTGCGTTTGACAGGAAAGATGATCGAAAGAAGGTAAATTGCTGGGTTTTTCTTCTTTGTCTTTTTTTTTTTAATTATATTGGGCCAAATCAGGTGGGCATAATTCTGAGTTCCTGTCCTGCTTCTGTTATTGACCTTGGAGAGCTGGTTTCTTCATTTATCAAGTCTAGACCATTATATTTTAACATTTCTTTAAGTAGTTTTTTGTTACCTTTATTTATTGTGTGTGTATGAGAGGGATGCTTGCCACAGTGTAAGCATGTTTGTGTGTATGTTTGCCAGGGGTGGGACTAGGGATAGGTTCTCTCTTTGCACTGTGTGGGTCCCAGGGATCAAACTCAGTTGGACAGGCTTGGTTGCAATTGCCTTACCTACTGAGCCATCTTACCAGACTCATTTTTTTTTTCTTTAAAACAAAAAATGGTTTTTCTTAGAATTGTTTGTCTCACTTTATTTGTGAGTGTTTGGCCTGCCTCTCTCTCTTTCTCTCTCTCTCTCTCTGTGTGTGTGTGTGTGTGTGTGTGTGTGTGTATGTATGTGTGTGTGTGTGTATGTGCGTGTGTGTGAGGGTGCACCACATGTGTGCTTGGTGCTGGGCAGGGTCAGGAGTAGGCATCGTATCCCTGGACCTGGAGCAAGTCACCACATGCGTGCTGGAAATCATGCCTGGGTTCTATATAAGGACAACAAGGGCTCTTAACCACTGAGCCATCCTCCTTTTCACTTTTTTTTTTTAATACTTTTTTTTTTAAGGTTTTATTTATTTATTATGTATACAGTCTTCTGCCTGCATGCAGATCTCATTCAAGGCAGTTGTGAGCCACCATGTGGTTGCTGGGAATTGAACTCAGGACCTCTGGAAGAACAGTCATTGCTCTTAACTGCTGAGCCATCTCTCCAGCCCCCCCTTTTCACTTTTTAAGACAGGGTCTCTTTGTATCTGGTTAGCCTAGAACTTACTATATAGACCAGGGTTAGTCTTCACTGTTAAGATCAAAGGTATGTGTCACCATGCCCTGTCCATTTCTTCCCATTTCAATTAGATTTTATATATTTACTTCTGTGTTCATGTGTGCTCACCCTGTACCACAGGTAACACCTTGGAGTTCAGAGGACAACTTGCAGGAGTTGGTTCTCACCTACCATATGGTTTCCAGGTATTAGGCTGTCATTAGGTTTGGCAGCAGGTGCCTTTATCTACTGAGCAGTCTTGCTGGCCCCTAACATTTTTTTATGTCCTTTTTTTTTTTCTTCTCTTTTGAGAGAGGGTTTCTCTCTTTGAGAGTGGAGCCTCTCCTGGAACTCACTCTGTAGTCCAGACTGGGCGTGAACTCACAGAGATCTATCTGCCTTTCCCTCCTGAGTGCTGAGATTAAAGGTGTACACCACCACCACCTGGCCTGATTTGGTTTTTCGAGACAGGGTTTCTCTGTGTAGGCCTAGCTGTTCCGGAACTTGCTTTGTAGATCAGGCTGTCCACAAAATCTGAGATCTAGCCTGCCTCTGCTTCGCCGGTGCTGGGACTAAAGGCATGCACCACTGCCACCACCCATTTTCTCCTAACATTTCTTAAGAATTCACCTTAGGGCCTGTGAGATTGCTCAGTGGATAAAGGTTCTTGCTACCAAGCCTGATGACCTGAGTTCATCTCCAGAATGCACATGGTGGAAGGAGAACATTGGCTTCTGTAAGTTGTCCTCTGAACTCCACCTGCATAAATAAGCCTCCTCCACATGAATAACAATATAACAGAATTTTAAAATTATTCAATTATAGTGAGCAATATTCAATGAGTGGTAATTGGCACAAGTTTAAAAAGTGGAGATTATGGTGCCAGTGTTACTATGCAGCTCTAGACGGTTCTCTGTGAGATGATGGTGCCAGTGTTACTATGCAGCTCTAGACGGTTCTCTGTGAGATGATGGTCCCAGTGTTACTATGCAGCTCTAGATGGTTCTCTGTGAGATCATGGTGCCAGTGTTACTATGCAGCTCTGGACGGTTCACTGTGAGATGATGGTGCCAGTGTTACTATGCAGCTCTAGACGGTTCTCTGTGGGATGATAATGGTGCCAGTGTTACTATGCAGCTCTAGACGGTTCTCTGTGAGATGGTAATGGTGCCAGTGTTACTATGCAGCTCTAGACGGTTCTCTGTGAGATGATAATGGTGCCAGTGTTACTATGCAGCTCTAGACGGTTCACTGTGAGATGATGGTGCCAGTGTTACTATGCAGCTCTAGACGGTTCACTGTGAGATGATGGTGCCAGTATTACTATGAAGCTCTAGACGGTTCTCTGTGAGGTAGTGGTCCCAGTGTTACTATGCAGCTCTAGACAGTTCTCTGTGAGATGATGGTGCCAGTGTTACTATGAAGCTCTAGACGGTTCTCTGTGAGGTAGTGGTCCCAGTGTTACTATGCAGCTCTAGACGGTTCACTGTGAGATGATGGTGCCAGTGTTACTATGAAGCTCTAGACGGTTCTCTGTGAGGTAGTGGTCCCAGTGTTACTATGCAGCTCTAGACAGTTCTCTGTGAGATGATGGTGCCAGTGTTACTATGCAGCTCTAGACGGTTCTCTGTGCTGAAGTTAAAGATCACAACATGACATCACTTAGAATGTGCATGTGGAGTTGCTGTGTCCTGATGGATCAGAATGGTTTAGAGTTTGGTCATGCTGTTCTCTCTATGCTTGAAACCCTCTGGTGACTTCCATTTTGTTTTTGTTGTTTTCTTTTGGGTTTTGTGTTTTGTTGTTGTTGGTTTTTTGTTTGTTTGTTTGTTTTTTGAGACAGGGTTTCTCTGTGTAGCCCTGGCTGTCTTGGAACTAACTCTGTAGACCAGGCTGGCCTTGAACTCACAGGGATCTGACTCTGCCTCCCGAGTGCTGGGATTAAAGGCGTGTGCCACCAACGCCTGGCTCTCAAGGTGACTCTTGCTAACCTGATTTATTAATTTGTAGTGGAGGGATATAATTTCTTTTGAGTGAGAAGTTTTGTTAGAAAGGCGAGGGAGGGGGAAGAAAAGAGAAAAGAGGTAAGAGACACAGAAGGACAGAAGAGAAGAGGGGAACAGGAGCAGAAAGAGAGGAGACCGGAGAGAAAGAAGAGCCGGAAAGAGAGCAAGAGCAGGATATAACTTTCATTGATGAAAATATTTCTGCCTGCCAGCTGGGACACTTTTCCCTAAAGGTGTTGGAAAAGCTGTGCTAGTAATCAGGAGGTGGGTAGTAGTGTTCTTCCCTGGGCTGCAGAGATGGCTTAGTTTGGTTAACACTGGTTGCTCTTCCAGAGGACCCAGGATTGAGTCCCAGCTCTCATGTGGCATCTCACAACAGACTCTTAAACTCTAGTCCCAGAGAATCCAAGGCCCTCTTTGTCCTCCAAGTACACTGCACCTAAATGGTACACAGACACACATGCTGGCACCCATACACATAAAGAGAAGTAAAGAGAAAAAATAGTGCTCTGTCCATCTCCAGGGGTAGGGACAGTTGGGGCTTTGCTGTACCCTAAACTTGAGTCCTGTCTCCTTCCTGGGGCTAGCTGAATGATCTTGGACAAGCTGTTGTTATTATGTGTCCATTTCTTTATGTTTTCTGATGGGAATAACAGCTACAGTAGAGAAACAGGGAGACTGAATGAGGTAGTTACAGAAAATAGCTTTTTTGTTTTGTTTGTTTGAGACAGGCTCTCACTATGTAGCCCTAGATGTCCTGAAACTCTGCAGTTCAGGCTGGCCTTGAACGAATAGCTATCTGCCTACTTCTGCCTCCTGAGTGCTAGCTAATTTAAAGGTTTGTACCATCACGCTTGGCTGGTTTTTTTTGTTTGTTTGTTTGTTTTTGTTTTTTGGTTTTTTTTGAAATAAGGTTTCATGTAACCCAGCCAGCTTGGGACTCACTATGTAGTAAGATTGGCCTGAACTCCTGGTCTTCTTGCCTGCATCCCTGAGTGTTGGCATTATAGACATGTGTTACCACACTGAGATAAAATTATTTTTTTATTCAAAATTTGTTTTTTATTTAAAAATATTTTAAATTAGGCTAGGCAGTGGTGGCACACGCCTTTAATACCAGCACTTGGGAGGCAAAGGCAGACAGATCTCTGAGTTTGAGGCCAGCCTGAGCTACATAGAGAAACCCTATTTCAGAAGAAACAAACAAAAATTTTAAACTAAAATTATATCTCTTCCCTTTTCTCCCTTCAATTCTTCCATATTCCCTGCTCTGTTCTTCCCTCTCAAATTTCAGGCCCTCTTTTTCTTTGTTGTTGTTACATACATACTTATAAACACATAAATATCTGAGTACAACCTGCTCAGCCCATTTAGTGCTATTTGTATATGCTGTAGAACGGGAGGCTGGAGAGTGGCTCAGAAGTTAAGACCACTGAATGTTCTTCCAGAGGTCCTGAGTTCAATTCCCAGTAACCACATGGTGGCTCAAAACCATCTGTAATGAGATCTGGTGCCCTCTTCTGGTGTGCAGGCAGAACACTGTATACATAATAAATAAATCTTTAAAAAAATAAAAGGAACTGACCACTTGGTATTGGATAACCAGTTAGGGGCCTCATCCCTGAGGAACACTATTTCTCCTGCTCTCAGCAAGATACATTTATTTATTTATTTGTTTATTTATTTATTTATTTATTTATTTTGAGACAGAGATTCTCTGTGTTTGGAACTTGCTGTCTTGGACTTACTCTGTAGACCAAGGTGACCTCAAACTTAGAGATCCAGAGTTCCACCTGTCTCTGCCTCCCAAGTGCTTGGATCAAAGGTGTGTGCCCACTGCCTGGCTTGTTTTTGTTTTCTTTTGAGACAGGACCTTAACTCAGTACCCTGACTTGGAACTAACTCACTTTGTAACCCAGGCTGACCTCAGACTTAGGAGCCACCATACCTATGTTGGATTTTTTTCTTAAAGCAGAGTTAGACTTTAATAAGAAAAGTGTTGGCGCCTGGAGAGATGGCTTGGGTTAAGCACTTGGGCTGCTCTTACAGACCTGCATTCAGGTCCCAGCACCCACGTGACAGCTCTGAACCATCTATGACTCCAGTTCCAGAAGTTAGATGCACTCTCCTGACGTCCAGAAGCAGCAGGCATTCGAATGGTGCACAGATCCATACTCAGGCAGAACACACCTGTACATATAAGATAATTCTTAAATATTGTTTTTAAGATGTTGGCCCTTGCCGGGCAGTGGTGGCACACATCTTTAATCCCAGCACTCAGGAGGTAGAGGCAGGTGGATTTCTGCGAATTTGAGGCCAGCCTGGTCTTCAAAGTGAGTTCCAGGACAGTCTCCAAACCTGCAGAGAAACCCTGTCTCAAAAAACCAAAAAAAGATGTTGGCCCAGGTATGATGTCGTGTGTCTTTAATCCCAGCACTTCAGAGGAAAAGGCAGATGGATCTTTGTGGACTACATAGTGAGTTCCAGGAGAGCCAAGGATACTTGGTGAGACTCTGTGTCAAAAGAAAAACAGCTTCTCTATGTAGCCCTGGCTGTCCTGGAACTCACTCTGTAAACCAGGCTGGTCTCAAACTCAGAGATCCACCTGCCTCTGCCTCTGCCTCTGCCTCTGCCTCTGCCTCTGGAGTGTTGGAATTAAAAGACCTACAGTATAATGCAATCAGCTTTTATGTGTATGGCACCATATTAAGTAGTTTATAATCATTGTCATTAAATCCTGTGACTTGCCCCAGGCTCACACAGCTTGCACTCTTGCAGGGCTGGAGCTTAACCAGGTGATTCTAGCTGCCAGTGCTCATGGTTGAGCACTGATCTCACCTCCTCTTCATTTTGTCTCAATTTTCAGGTAGATGGGAAGTTGCTGTGTTGGCTGTGCACACTGTCTTACAAGCGTGTCCTTCAGAAGACCAAAGAGCAAAGGAAACATCTGAGCAGCTCTTCTCGAGCCAGCCATCAGGAGAAGGAGCAGTACAGTCGCCTGAGTAGTGGCAGCCATTACAACAGGTAACCCCAGGTTCATGAGAGGACTGCAGGAGCAGGCAGGCCAAGTGCCTCCCTCCTCACTCAGTCCAGGAGGATAACATCTCAGAAGTTTCCCGTGGTTACTTGGCTTTAGGAAGTTTCTTGCTTGCCATATTTACAGTTCATATGTCTCCAAGGGCCAGGGGGGGTTCTGTATTGTGTCTTAAGGTGTATAGAACTTCCAGGTGGAATTCTCTACCTTAATTGTGCATAATTCCATGGGAATTGGATGTTTTGTTTCCTGGCTAGAGACTGCACTTAAATATATATTTGGACAAATAGTTGATGGGTATTCTAGACTTTTTCAGGGTGGGAGCCAGTTGAAAGATGTCCTTTTGTTGATGGCTGAAGCTTTCCTTTAGAGTATGTGCAATGATGTTGAGAATTGGGGCTTGTGTTCAATCCTGTCTCTAGCAAATTTTCTCATCGACAAGAGAGAAAGAAAATAGTGTTACCTCATGGGGTTGTTGTGAAGGCAAATTATATAGTACATGAATAGCAGTTTGTTTTCTAATGACAGTATTCAATGGGTTTTAGCTGGTTTTTGTTATTACTGTCATTATGGTTTTGTTTGTTCACTAGTCATTATTAAGTACTCTCATGGGCCAGGGACTCTGCTGGGAATACAGAGTTGAATAATAGCCATGCTGCTCTCAATAGTATGCCTTCTGATAGAGAAGACAGACTTGTAATCAAGTCATCACAGTCTAATGCGATGGGCACACTTTGAAAACTTGTCCAGATCAGGTAGGAGAAGCAGTTCTAATCAACTGCCTAGGAAGTCAGGAAGGCTGGCTTGGGGAGAGCCTCCTGTAACTAACTACCCCTGGGGTGGATGGGACTTGTCGGATGAGGACAAGGTGGGGTGTCCTAGTAGAGGGACTAGTGCTTCCAGAGGGCATGAGGCCACACAGAAACTGGGAGAACATCAGCCCATTTGTGTAGTAGGAAAGTGGAGAAGGAGAAGAGGACCCTGCACATATGGTTGGGCTTGTGGGCAGCCATCAAGGGACCTGTGCAAGGGAAGGACCCAGCCTGTGTCGTCAGTGACTGCCCTGACTAGCAGAGAAGACACTGAAGGAAATGGGAACTGAGGACTGGGGATGTAGCTCAGTGTAGTGTTTGCCTAATATTTGCAGGGCTTGGGTATATAGCTCTTCCCATTGGGGCTGTTCTTTTTGTGCGAGTATAGGAAAGCTAAGAAATGTTAGAGGAACTTCATCTCAGCCTGGTGATGGTGGTGCACACCTGGAACCCCAGAATTCTGGAGGTGGAAGCAAAAGGATCAGAAAGGCCAGAGCCAGCTACATAGGGAGTTCTCGGCCAGTGTGAGCTACATGAAACTCTGTCTCATCTCACATAACCCAGGTTCTCCTGTCCTCACCCCTCTACATACATGCAAAGATCCACCCTGAGGCACTGCATTGAGACAGTAAGAAAGTTCTTTGGAGTGTGATTATAAGAAACTTGGATATGTGGGTCAGTCAATGCATATAGGCAGTTGCCGAGTGAATAAAGGGTAGTTCTCGGGTTTCTCACGTGGATGAGCAGGTAGATTTTAACTTAAAGAGAAACAAGGAAGGGGAGAGAGAAGTTCAGTGTTTGAAATGCTTGGTTTGAAGTTCTAGCAAAATTGTTTACAGTTGCTGAGCCTGGAACTGATTCAGACATGAGCCAGTAGTAATGCATTAAAAAGTCAGTTAAGAGTAGAGATGGTTCAGTTCAGTAGGATGTCAAATAACATCTAGAATCTGCATCGTGATCCCAATGTCTCTTGATTGATTGTAATGGAGGTGATCCCAGGGAGCCGCTTTTCTATCCCGTTAGAACTGTGTTTGGATGGTACAACTCAAAGTGGGGACTGAGGACAGAATTGGAAGCATTCAGTATTGAAGAATCAGGAAGAGAATATCCTCAAAATAGGAAGTCTGAGTGGTCAAGAGTTCCAAGGATAGAGCAATCACTGGAATCACATACTGGAGAGGTGTGGCTTAGTGGTTAAGAGCACTCATTGTACTTACAGAGGTCCAGGGTTCAATTTCCAGCACCCACATGGTGACTCCCGGCCATCTGTAGCTCCAGTTCCCGGGGATCTGATACCTGCTTCTGGCCTTGGAGGACAGCAGGCATGCATACAGTGTGCAGATGCACACACAGACAAATACTCACACACAGGATAAAATGGTTAAAAAAATAATGGAGAACAAATACCCTTGGGTGTAGCATTGCACATCTGTCAGTATAAAGGGACTTCATGCCAGGGACAGGCTTCCAGCTTGGTGTTACAGTTTTGGGTGACTGTACTAGACTTAAAGCTAGTTTTATTGTGGAACTGAGGTCCAGAGTGAATTCACAAAGATGTGACGAGGAAGGCCAGGAATTCAGATGTACCCGCGTGGGCCAGATACTAGCTTGTCAGAACTACCCAGATGGAAGATGCTTGGGTGATAGGAAATGGATGGGGAAAGACTTCCTAAAACAGAAAACATATTTCTTATAGTTTGGTCAGTTCTATTTTCATACCTAATAATCAGTCAGGTAGTAAGTAATTAAGGTCAAAATGGTTTTTGATCCTATAGAAACTGGCCACCCATGCATCCAAGCATCCAAACCTCTAAACCACCTTGTTAGATCTTACTAACCAAAAATAATAAAGCTGTTGCCCAGAACAATGTTGATCCATTTGACAGACTTTCCTTGGAGTGTTTTATTAATCTTTGATTTCTAATGTGTGTGTCTCTCTCTTTTTGCCATCAAAAGCCAGAAAACACTTTCTACATCTTCAATTCAAAATGAAATCCCAAAGAAAAAATCCAAGTTTGAGTCAATCACAACTAACGGAGACAGGTGAGCCAGTTGGAGTATGAGTGTACGCACACTTGAAACACATAAATAGTTCTTGACTACACATGAGGGTATACCTTGGAGCTAGCCAGGGTCCTGAGTGGACCCGTTACGGGCGCTCTGCTAGTCTCTTTATAGATGTAGATTAGCACTACTGATAGCTGTTTATCAGGTGAATATAAGAACTTATTGGGCATGTTGGCTCATGCTTGTAGTCTCAGAACTTGGGGGGTTGAGTCAGATGAGTGACCTTGAGTTCAAGGCCAGTCCATATTGTTGGCCATATAGTCGGGTGTGATGACACACTCTTTTAATCCCAGGAGAGGCAGATCTCTGTGAGTTCAAGGTCAGTCAGGGCTACATAGTGAAACCCAGTTCAAAAATAAAAAAATACATATTTAGAACTCGTAACCAGATTAAAGTCTTTAGTCCACTATGGAAGTGTAAGAAGTGAGGAGATGAATGTTTTTCTGTGTGGTCTGCCTGTAGCCTTCAGGAAGAGTTGGTTTAGAGAGAGAGCAGAGCTAGGGTGAAGGCAGGGCTGCGTGTCTGCTAGGATAGTCCACACTTTTCAGCATCTACCCATATAGATGCTGGGACAGGCGAGAGTGAGATCCAGTCCAGTATTTGGCCTGCCTAAATGCATGTTTTCATTGCTCGCTTTCCTTTCTCCTCAGCGATGCTTCTTCTCATGAGCTGCTTTGTCCTAGTACCAGAGCCTGTCTGTGTTGGTGCAGTGGGCTGCTTCCCAACAGTGTCTTGGAGCCATCCATTTTCCTGTTTCTCTAGGCCCAGGCATCCTGAAGTGAGATCATCTGACACTTCCCCAAAGTCCTTGGAAGCTTCTCCATTCTGAGAACTCCATTCTGAGAACTCTCCCTCCCATCGAGAATGTAACTGTTTGTGGAGTCTCCTATTCCCTGTTACTTTTTTTTTTTTTTTTTTTTTGGTTTCTCTGTGGCTTTGGGGGCTGTCCTGGAACTGGCTCTTGTAGACCAGGCTAGTCTTGAACTCATAGAGATCCGCCTGCCTCTGCCTCCCAAGTGCTGGGATTAAGGCGTGCACCACCAACGCCTGGCTTCCCTGTTACATTTTTTATGTACTTGATTTCAGGTTGTATCTGTAGTGTCTGTTGACACTAGTTTAATTGGTTTTCAACTTTTGGGGGGGGATTCTAGGTTTTTCGAGGCAGGGTTTCTCTGTGGCTTTGGAGGCTGTCTTGGAACTAGGTCTTGTACACCTCCGGCTTGTTTTTTGTTTGTTTGTTTTTGTTTTTTGAGACAGGGTTTCTCTGTGTAACAACTCTGGCTGTCCTGGAACTTGTTCTGTAAACCAGGCTGGCCTCGAAAATAGAGATCTGCCTGCCTCTGCCTCCCTAAGTTCTGGGATTAAGGGCATGCACCATCATTGCCCAGCAGTTTTCAGCTTCTTGAACCTTTGGGAAATGCTAAAGTTTTTCAGGTTGTACTGGGAAAGAACCATGCAGACCAACTTTTCTGGTGTCTTCCCCCATATCTTTTGAGCAGCTAGTTGGGCTGTTTTGAAGAAAACAAATGTGTCCATCATCTTTTCATGCTTCTGTAATAACTGCTTCAAGGAACAAATATTTTGAAGCCCTAGAAAGCAGGCCACTAAGCCCAGCCCTGTACTTTGAGCTCCACCATTCCTATTGGCTTACTTATCCCCAGGCTGTACTAGTGGTCCCGGGCACCTCATTCATAGCTGCAGTTCTGTCAGCCCAGTCTTTAGCAGCTTTACCTCTTACCAGCTTGTTTGTCTTGAGGTATTGCTTCTAGTCTTACTGTCTGATACCTTGGATGCACCAAGCTAAAACTTACTAGGCTGGCCCTGCAGATTGTTGAATCATGTCCCACCACAAGTAATGATGGTTTTGCTCAGTGGGATGCTAGGTACATGGTCTTTTATTGCGTCCTCCAGAGAAGACATTAAGCGATCATTTTCATTTTTCCCATACTGTTTTATGTACATGTGATATTGGGAATGAAGCTAGGGCTTCCTGCCTGTTAGGAAAGCGCTCTACCACTGGGCTGCGTCCCTAGCCTCATAATGATGTAAAAAGTTTATCTGTGTGGGGAGGACAGGGTTGGAGTCTCAATGTGCAGTTTTGGTTCTCCTGG